TTATTAGAGTTTTGGAAGTAAGGGATTTGCATTTCTTTTAACAATTCTATTGTTGGACTTTTAAAAGTTAGAGATTTACATTTCTTCTAACAAGAAGGATATTGGTAAAAGTGAAAGCAAAAATCTACTTTGAGCCTTTCACCTTACCAAGTTTGAAGGTTTTGACCCCTTACCTTATACTATTACACTTTTAACCTTTCACCTTACTAGATTTGTAGATTTAACCTCTCACCTGTTAAAATCAAAGAAATTAACCCTTACTTTATATTGGCTATTAACTCAATTAGCTGAAAGTAGATTTTTGTCAAATAATAGTTAACTAATAGCCAGTAAACAGAATTAATGAAATATTATAAAATTAGTTATGTTAACTCTGTTAGGTAAAAGAAGGTTTTTGTTAGCTATTAGTCAACTAACAATCAGTTAATAGAGTTAACAGTCAACTAATAGAACCAACAAAATGTTGCAAAGTGAGAATTATTTTCTTCAATTTTCATAGGTGAAGGGCTAAAAGTGTCATAGTATAAGGTGAAAGTTAAAACCTACAAATCTAGTAAGTTAAAAATGTCATAATATAAGATGAGGGACTAAAACCTTCAAATTCGATAAAGTGAAGGATTAAAAGCAAGCTTTTGCCTAAAAGTGGGAACCCAAATTTGGGTTCTTCACAGAACCTAGATCAAGGTTTTTTAAGATGTTGGGATGTGGGTTCTTGTTGAATGGGTAGGAGAAGAGAGATGAAGGACAAGAAGAAGGGGTTCAAAGATTGGAAAACTAGATTTGGATTTTTGTAATTTTTATTATATTTAAAAAAAATTCATTTGGATCTTTAGAAGTTGAATGACGGTAGAACAAATTTTCTTAGAACAAATTGTTGTTAAATTTTTGGGTTTTGGAAATGATTTTTATGGATTAAATGCTCAAAGAATGCAAGAAATGTTAAGGTTTTTAATAGGAAAAAGGAAGGATGGTGGGATTTGATAATTTGTTAACAAATTAAGGGCAAAAAAAGGTGATTTTGGCATTAAAGAAGCCTCTAATTGATGTAGTATGCTTGCTTGTAATAACTTTGCTTATTTGTGGATGAGACATATCATTTTTTAATGGAGGTAACACCGTAACTAGGACGTGATTGCACATAAGTTTTTATGGTTAATTTGGGCACAAATTCTCAAATCCATGCAATTCAAAGACTTGAAGTTAGAGAGTTATAGTATGAGGAAATTTAAAATCAAACTTAGCAAGTTGAGGGGTTAAATGATATTTTTGCCCAAGCTCTTAACTTTGAAATTTTGACCAAAGCGCTATTAAATTAAGCACAAACTCATTTGTTAAGCCCTTAAACTTTCCTAAATTTGCAAAATAACCCTAAACTAATTTTTATGCACATAGATCCTTAAATCACTAAATCCATGCATATTGGCCCTCAAGTTAACAACGTAACACAAGTGTTGTCATGTTTGTATTAAGATCCGTTTCCTTTTTTTTTTCTCTCTCTCTTTTTTTTGGGAACAAGGCAAGTTGGGGAGGGAAAAATGTCATCCATGGAGTTTAAAAACACAACCCACAGTAAGTGATCCCTACTTGACCAAGAGTCTCGTCATTAGTGTAATGCTATGGGTTGATACGTGGGGATCACAATCTGTTTCCTTTGTGCTTGCATGACAAGTTTTTTCTTGATGATGTGGCTCTTAAATCACGTGTGTAATGATATAGGTTGATAACTTTGTAAAAATGTATTTAAAATACCTCATAAATGCCTTTTCATTTTTCATAGTTATACATTATATTAAAATGACACATTTGCCATTCTTGGTTGAAATTACGAGCACAATTAATAATTTAAAATTAGTTTTATATTCTCCCTTTGTTTATTTTTAGTATATTTAATTTAACTTTATTATTTTTAAAATATAAATATAAGATAAAAATTTAATATATTATATAAAATATTAAAATTTTTTTATTAAATAAAAATACTTGACAAAAACTATATATAAGAAAGAAAAACTTTTTTTAATTGTTATTTATATACATTATTAAATTTTCATTTAAAATTTATATCCTAAAAATCAAAAAGTCAAATGAAATATAGTAAAAATGAATAAATGGAATAGCTCTCTAGTGGGTGGGATTATTGTCACACTTTAAATTATTAATATCACACTTTTTTAATATAATTATCTATTATACCCTTTATCACATTCTTTCTCAAAAATTTATATTTTTTTGTTTCTTAATAAATTAAATAATATAATAGTCGATTAATAAAAAAGGTGTGGTATTAATAATTGAGGATGTGACAATAACATCACCCCTCTCTAATTAAAATTATTAGTTAGGGTTTATAAAGACAAAAAAAACCCTTAATAATTTTTACTTTTCCTTAATTAATTTTGCAACTGTATTTTTACTTTGCCTGATTATTTTTTATTTAAAATTCATAATAAATCTCAATTATTCATAATAGAAAGATAAATGATAAAAATATTATGCAAGTGATGCCCCTAAGACTTGTCAACCATCCGTACCGTAAAGATAAAGGTTAAGATTTATAAACTTTTAATTTTATTTTTAAAGTAATTATTTTTTATTTAAAAAGTCATAAGAAATTTTAATCATTCATAGTAAATAGATGATGGTTAAATTTTTGTGTAAAAAATATATATAAAAACTATATATAAATAGATTTTAACTTGTATATATAAAAAATCTAAAGTAAAATAAATTAAATCAATATAAAAAAAGGCAAGTTATAGTAGACTGACGTCTTAGCTACTAATTTTGCTTCGAAATTAAGTCATACAAGGTAACGATTTAAGAAGTGAAAACTAGAATTGCTATATATGTATGGTTGCATACAACTGTCTTTAGAGCTGTGTGATTAAAAAAAAAGGACTACATGCCTTAAGATACTCACTTGGGATAAAATAGAAAAAGAAAAACACAATTGTTATACAAAAAGTAAAAATAATACTTCTTTGGTTCATTTTTAATAGACTTATTTTGATTTTTTAATTTTTCAAATAATATTTTTAAATGAATATTTAATAACTTATAAGAACAAAAATTGAAAAAGTTTCTTCTTTCTATACAAAGTTCTTGTAAAGTACGTTTATTTGATAAAAAAAATTTAATTATCATTTATATAATATATTAAATTTTTATTTAAAATTTATGTTTGAAAAATTAAAAAGTAAAATTAAATCTTTTTAAAATAAGCAGGAGATTATTTATTTGAAATAAATATTTATTAGCATCACTTATAAAAATTAAGAAAAAAATATTCTAAAACTATTTTATTTCAATGAACCCTTATTTTAAAAAATTAAAATAATTTATATTTTTAAAGTAGAGATGACGGTTTTTATTTCTAAATAAAATAACCACTAACCAAGACCACAACTATGTTATTTCCAGAAAAAAAAAATATTTTTTATAATAAATGAATAGTATAAAGTATAGAAATTAGCTAATTTTTTTATTTTTATTTAATAAATATTTTTTCTAACTTGGTACTAGTTAAGAGTGTATTTAATGTAGTTTATGCAATTGATTATTTTAGATATTTAATAAAATCATAAAAAATAATGATTGGATAGGATCTAAATTTTAAATGTTTAAATATTAAATGAAATTCACTTTAATGGTATTTTTCTATGAGAATAGTTTGGTGTTAAAAGATTTAAATTTAAATTTCTTACTTGAACTTTTATAAAATAAACCTTTATTAGATTTGATTTTATTTAAGATGTTAAAAAAATTGAAATTTTAGTAATAAAACTTTTGAGTCTAGTGATATGTACTCATTTAATTATGAAAATGTTATAATTATTGTAATTTTATAATATAACATAGTATCATATAATTAGTTTTTTATTTAAAAATTTATTTATAATTTTACATATATATTCATTTAATATCATAATATACTTATTTAATTTTATATTATAATTATAAATTTATCGTAATAGTGCAAAATTAAAAATTATTGCAACTTCTAAGTTAAAGTCTTACCGCTAACCTTTTAAAAATTAAAAATTTTTAAAAAAATATTTTCTTACATAACTGGTTAGATCGGCCAAAACAGACCCAGCGCTTAAAAGGGTCAAACACCCAAGTCGGTTTACTCCATGGCTCAACAGATTTAAACATTACCGAGTCGGTTCTTAAAAACTCTGTCTCTCACTTCAAAAGTTCAAAGAGCTCACCTCCATCTTTTCATCCTCATCAACCTCCATGCTCTTTCACCCCATTTTCTCGGATCTCAGCCGTTGATCTATGACTCTTCTGTCCTTCAAATATTGGCTTTCCGCTCCCAACCGTATCAACCTCCGTCATGTCCTCCAAGATCAACGGCCAGGTTTCGCCGCACTCCTGTTCCCACCTTCTCCAGTTCCGTCGCCGGAACGGTCCCGACTCATTTCGAGCGCTACAGGATTGCCTCCGCGTCAAGCCGCCGGGCGGCCGTGCCTCGATTCGCCGAGACCCGGCGGAGGTTCCCTGCTGCCAAGCGTGCGGTGAGTCAGGATCGAACCGCCTGTACGCGTGCGTGACGTGCGCTGCTGTCTCCTGCCACGCGCCCCAACTTACCTCCCACGCGGCAGCACATGCCCAGTCCATGTCTCCTGGACACGAGATCGCTGTCGATGTTGATCGTGCCGAGCTCTTCTGCTGCGAATGCCGAGACCAGGTGTACGACCAGGGCTTTGACGCCGCTTTCGTCCTTGCTCAAAACACCGCCACTACGACGACCGGATCCACATTAATGCAATACAGTGCGGAGCCGGGAAATCTCCGGAAGCGCCGCAGAGTGGATTACCGGCACTGGTCGCCGGATTCACGCGAGTGCGTTACAATGACAAATCTCTCCACTCCCTTATACGATTCTACCAATTCATCAGATGTGCCCTGGGGATTGCGCGGACTGAATAATTTGGGAAATACATGTTTCATGAATTCAGTATTGCAGGCGTTACTGCACACGCCGCTACTAAGGAACTATTTCTTGAGCGACCGGCATAATCGGTACCATTGCCAGCAGAAGAATGTTGCCAACAATGACGGAAAGAATGGCAGGTTGTGCTTGGCTTGTGACGTGGATGCAATGTTTTCTGCTGTTTTTTCTGGGGATCGGACTCCCTACAGTCCTGCTAAGTTCTTATACAGGTTCGTATCTGTGCAATTTTGTGTTTTGACAGATAAGGGTAATTAGAAATGCCTGAGAACAATGAAAGTAGACAACCTGAGGTTTTGTACTTTTCTTTTCTTTCAATAATGCTATCTTGGTTTTTCTTTTCCCCTTTTTTTTTTTTTTTTTTGTAAGAAAAGAAATGATCTTGGTTATTGTTACATGTAAAAAGAATCTGTCAATTTGGCTTCTTTTGGCAGAATGGATGAGGAAGCTTGTAATTTTGTTTCTGGTGTAACCTTTACCGTGAGGTTTCTGCAAATTTTTTTTTTTTTTGGTAAAAAATTATTTGGATTAAAATGTGATGTCCCTGCAGCTGGTGGCAACATGCGGCAAACCTGGCCAGTTATGAGCAGCAGGATGCACATGAGTTTTTTATATCCATGCTCCATAGAATCCATGAGAAGGAGGAGAAGGACCAGGGGAAGCCTCATAGTCAGGGTAACTTTCTTCCAGTTGCATTATGTTTCTCATCTTTCTTCATGACTTGGCAAATGCTGCTTGTTTGTGTTTCATGTGAAGGTATATACAGTTAACCAGAAAGTAATAATAGTGACTGTAGTTTTAGTCTGTAAAGTCACGCATTTGTAGAACATGTAATTGCTTCATAGTGGAGTGGATATGAATAGGCCTATTGTGGGTCCATGTCCTGTACTGCATTATGGTATGTAATTGACTGCATAATGGAAAAGAAATTGTAACTGTGGTATGTTATTCTGATTTCTGTCATTTTCAGCTAATTAGAAGCTTGGTTTTGGGAGACTATCCTCTGTACTCTTTTTTTTGTTGATTCTCTAATTTAAATTCTGAAGTTCAATTGACATGGAAATTACTACAGTATTATCTAAATCCTGCCATCAATCATGTGGTAATGTTATAACTGCTGACTTGCCAGTGATTTGTGCTCTGAAAGATTAAGTAAATGTCCTGATTTTTTGATTTTAGGAAGAGTTTTAACCTTAGTTTTGACATCAAGCTGAGCATTAGGTCTCTGGTAGTGTTTTTCCTTTTTTTTTGAACTCATGTCTCTGCTAGTGTTTGTTGCCCTACTTTGGCATTTAAGTGGCAACATAAAAGTAACCACAAGAGAATATGGATTTGTTCCAGATTGTTTTGATTGACTAGAATTAGGTCATGAAGGGGTAATGAAATTTTAGAGCTCAAATAAAGAATGAAACTTGCTGCTTGACAGTTTGGTCAGAAGATGAACACAAGTTACGCAACGGTCTCTTAATGAGCACAGCTGATGCCCCTCTCTTTACTGTTTTTAGTATTTACTTTTGATCTAGTTGATCTAGCATTTTCTTAAAGATTAAGAAGTAATCCTAATATTTAACTGCAGGGCATGAGTTTAGGTCTCTTCTTTGTTGCTCTAGGAGTTGACAACTGCTCTCAGATTTAGGGCTAATACTCAACCTCAAGCTGCAGGCTTGATGATGTCATCCACATTACTCCTAGTAAGTCGGCCTTCTTTAGCCAGCTGGGTTTCATAATAGGAGTTTCTCACCTTAGTTGCTTCTCATATTAACTTCCCTTTGCCATGTTAGGGTCTTATATTGGAACAAGTTGATCCTGATCACAGAAAAAGGAGAGCACTCTAGGATTACAGTTTGGATAAAGTCTTTTTTAATCGTTTTGGTTGTTTTGCATCCGCATTGGGCTTTCTTTGGACACCCTGGTTGGGAGCAGGCCACAGTGTGCTCTGGACTTATGGAGCCCTTGCTAGTTTCTGCAAGGTTCTCTGGCTTCAGCCATCAATTTACTAGTTCTTGGTTCTCTTTCCAACTGTATTTTGCTAGTTTTTGGCAGTTGCTAAAATGTCAGTTGATGTGATGTGATGCAAATCTGCATTTCTTGTCATTCTGGAGTGAAATAGGAGACAGGAAAGTGATATCTTAATTTGTTCTTGAGCTGTGAATGTGAATATCTTATCCTTAAAATTGTTTAATAACTAAATATTTTGTGTCTCAAGGAGAAAGGATAAGAAACAGAGAATGGTTGTTACTCAGAATACTATACTCTAACCCTAGTAGAAAGACAATGGCTGGAGGAGTATGCTTTTTTAGGAAATCTGACCTTATTGGCATATTTGTTTAAGTGATGCTTTTACTTGTGGTTTCTCACTGTGATAGAAAAGCACTTGATTCTCTATGTATGCATATCCTTGATAATCAGATTGCCTTTCTGGAAGAGCTTTTGAATTATAACATTGTAAGAAAATGCTTGTAATGCTAGTGCCATTCATAATGTATTTATAGGAAATTTTTAGGGAAAAATTATCTTGTGCCAAATATTTTTATGACCCCATTCTCTGCTGGTGCAGGAAGTGGTGACTGTTGCATTGCGCATAGAGTGTTTTCTGGAATTCTGCGTTCTGATGTTATGTGTATGGCTTGTGGTTTCACGTCTACAACATATGACCCCTGCATAGACTTCCCACTGGATTTGGAACCAAATCGTGGAGGTTCAGCAAAGTCTTCATCTACAAAATCCCACAATTCTTGCAATGTTGAAGCAGAAAGAATTAGTTTGAATAAAGACTGCAGTATATCTACCCTGAAGGGTTGCTTGGAACGATTTACAAGACCGGAGAGATTGGGCTCTGACCAGAAGTTTTTCTGCCAGAAGTGTCAGGTGAGACAAGAGTGTCTTAAACAGATGTCCATAAGGAAGCTTCCATTGGTTTCTTGCTTCCACATTAAAAGATTTGAGCATTCTTCAATAAGAAAGATGTCTCGCAAGGTTGATGGTCATCTTCAATTCCCATTTTCATTGGACATGGCTCCTTATCTCTCCTCATCCATCTTGAGAAGTCGATTTGGGCACAGGATTTTTCCTTTTGATGGGGATGAGCAAGATGCACCGAATGACTTGTCTTCAGAATTTGAGTTGTTTGCTGTTGTCACACACACAGGGCGATTAGATGCTGGCCATTATGTGACCTATTTGCGATTTAGTAATCAGTGGTATAAATGTGATGATGCCTGGATCACACAAGTCAGTGAGAATATTGTGAGGGCTGCACAAGGCTATATGATGTTTTACGTACAGAAGATGTTGTGTTACAGAGCAAGTGAGAAATAGGCAACTTTAAAAGGCTGGTGCAGAATGAGAATTTACATTTTAACTTGGATCATGTAAGACACAAGTAGAGGTACCAGCAGAAATATTTAATATGATTGAGACATCAAGATGGTGCCATGGCCGGTTTTGTATACTTGAAACACAGATTTCATCAAAGTGCCCTGCTTGATGAAAAGCTAGGCCTCTTGTTCTTTTCTGGTACTTCAAGCAGTGAATTTTAATACTGAATTGGAATGCAAAGTATGCCTAAATTTTTGAGGCATTCAAATATTCAAGAAATTATTTTTTAAAGGTACGTGTTGCTTACAATTGATACAAATTTCCCTTTTTTTCTTGGTTGAAATACTGGTGACCTTTTTTCCCCCTCTCAAACGATCCTCATAGAGGCAATGCCATAGATATGTACCTATATTTCACTATTCCATTCTTACTTGGCATATCTATGGCAATAAATTGATTTTATGGTTTCCTTTGATGTATGGTTAAGATTCATTTTTTATTTCTAAAAAAGTCTTCTTTTGCTTGTACTTCTCTTGAATTGTGCTTTGTCATGGTCATGTATAATACATGAAATCCTTAAAAAGATACCTTGTGTGGACTTATGTTGGACCTTTGATTTAATAATTGTCCCTCTGCTATTTTAATATTGGAATGCTTTGAGCCCGAAGCCATTGCTAGATTGACACATGCAATTAACCACTAAATTATTTAGAGACAACTTGAGTTATCTTCATTGTAAGCTCATGTATGGGAGTTTTAGTGAGTTGATAACTAGATTTTTTAGGCATTCTTATATGCTGCTTAAACAAAAAGAATGTGCTTGGATTCTATTTAAAAACTAAAAGGCTGAGTTGGTTGTTGCTTCGTGCTGTTTTAAAAATGTTCTTTGAAAGATTGTTGAAGCTGAGCTTGTAAATAATTATTTGATTTTGATGAATGTTCTTTGTGCTTGACTCATGAGTACTACCAACCATATTTGTGAAGGTTCTTTTTGGTATTACTATTGATGCCTATCTGCCTCAATGTTCTAATGATTGTATCACCAGCATGATGTTTCGGTTGTAAGGTGGTAATCGAAGAGCTGAGCTGTGACTTTTGAGGTGTTTATTCTAGGAGGTTCGGAATATTGCAGAATTCATGTAATTTCAGAATTTTTTCTTATTTATGTCAAAAATCTTATCTCATCCACAACAGCATCTCTCTTACCTTGAGGTCAAGTTCTGTGGATTTTTTTTTTTTTTTTTTATTTGCCTGTTAAACTAAAAAACAAGAGAAGGAAATTTTTCGCAGATTTGTTACACCGTGTCCAAGTGGTCATTCTCTATTCTCTATTCGGTCATCTTTTCTGTAACTATAACAGAAGCTAGCACATGCTGTCAACATATGGTGGCAGATTTTGCTGAATAAGCTGTCATAGATGCAATTTAAGTCTTTCCCAAATCCAGTCCGAAATATTAGCTACTACAAATCCCAGGAATACCTGCAATGGATGACTCGTTTTAGGCGAAGCTAATAAGAGATGAACATTTGCATTTCAAATCCGGAACTCAGTTACCTGAACTGAGCCAATGATGTAGATCACCGAATACTTTCGCCCATGAACCATCATGTCTTCCAGCATTGCGAAAGGGATGGTGAGTGAACAGCCAAGTGCAGCTACCAGCGGGGACGTCCATACAACACCTACTCCCCTGCAATTATCGACCCAATTATTCATTTCGAGTTTTGAATTGTTCCATATCAAATCCTTGCGTAAAAAGTTGGTAAAAGACTATTTTGTTAGGGGTACCAGAAATAGTCAGAGAGAAAACTTCCGAAGAAGCTGTTTATGACAATGATCTTCTCCACCTTAGCCGAATGAGGTAAGGCGAGCTCGGGTTCGATACCAATGGCAATTAGAGGCCACACTGGAGAAAGATTGCAGAGAAGTTTGAGTGGGACAAAATATATGGATTGACATACAAAAGCAAACCAGTGTTTGTCTTACCAAGCCACCAAAGGGCAACAAGCGTGAACAATCCAATGTAGCCAAACAGTTTCTGCAGCTCTACCTTTTCTCCTCCCTTTCCAGAGAACTTTTTGAGCAAAACTGGAAATGTATTTTTCTACTTTTAGTTGAGAATTATGCTCATCAAACTGTTGGGCAAATGAAAAATGATTGAACTTTCAATTCAACCTGAAAAAAGTGCATAAGTCATTGCGGACAGGATAGCGAAAAGATCTCCTTGAAGTGAATGATTCCCATTTCTGAAGCCAACAAAATGAGGGGTCATTTGAAAAATATTGAAGAATTTTTTGGAAATGGATAGATTTGAAAAACGGAAATACATATTAGGGCATGATTGTGAATCTTCAGAAGCCCAAGTGCTTCCAAGTGTAGTTATCGCTACCCCGGCCATGCTTATGACGACTGAGATTACTTTGACCGCATTTACAGAGTCTTCACCGAGAATTGCACTGATCAAAAGGGTAAAGAATCCTGAGGTTGAGGACAATAACGTTGTACTGGCAACATCTGTTCGAGCTAATGCAGCGTTTTGAAGATACTGCACACAATATCCAATACATGTATACATTAACGTGCTAGTTTACTACTGGTTGTTCTATTAAATTTTTTTTTTTTAGAAGATCTATTTAAAAATTAATTTTTAGATTAATATTTTCAAAAATTAATTATTAAATTAAAAATTCTCTTCAAATATCATGTATATTATTTTTTCATTAATCTCAAAAAACCTAATTAATTAATTTATTTATTATATCAAAATTAACACAATTAAATATATTTACTAAAATATAAAAATTGAAATATATAACATAGAACTTTCAATTCAAGACAAGTCTTTTAACAGAAATTTGTGAGCACAACATGCAGAACACTTGTAAAAAAAGGAGGTGCAAAATTATGTTTTCTTGGAGAATACAGAAGTTATAAAATCACAAACCTCTGTGAAGAACCAGACAGGAGCAATGCAAAATCCAAATGCAGCGAGTTCCTTTGTGGTAAGCTTTTTGTCACGTTCCAGCTCTTCCATGAACCCTTTCTGTCTAAAAAATCCGTCCTCCTTGGTGCAAATATTAATAGGACAACAATCTTTATTTGCAGAGTTTCCTTGATGTTCAATCTCAAAATTCCCAACACTTTTTTCATGTTTTGGACTAGAATTTGCACTGGACTTACTAGCACTTTCTTTCTTCCTTTTCCTACCTCTACAAGATCCATCTCTTACGATCCTCACTATCCAATCCTTTATGAATGCTATTGGAAGATGAAGCGCCAAAAAAGATGTTGCAAGGTATGCCAAGGCAAACGGATGCCTATAGTTTGTGAATACAGACTGTACCAAAATATGCCAGAAATGTGAAATTTGTAGAAATTTATTGTATGCTTCCTTTGAATCATCAAAAAAATGAAAAAAAAAATTCCTATATATGAAAAATTAGTAATCAAAACTACCTTATTTTTCGATTAAAAGAAAACCTAAGAACATAATTTACAACAATTGTGAAAAAAAGAAAAGGCTCTATTTTGTATTCATTTTTCTTATTCTAAAATTTATACGTTTCACGAATCAAACAGATAAAACAGTAAAAATTTTAAAATATAATTTTAGAAACGTTAAAATCATGATGGAAATATAAAAACTTGATGAATTTGGAGGAAGAAATGAAACTGATTACCTGAGTGATTTCTGCAGAGGTAACCCACAGGAACACAACACAAATAATTAGAATCAAACCTCCCTTGTATTTCCAACCCATTCTTGAAGCTGAACCTCTAGGAAGGTATGTTAATTTCTATTTTCTATTTTTGAGGTCATCCAATTTGTATATATTCTCTGTTCAACTTCCCTTAAAACTCTCTCTACATGTTCGTTTTTCTGAGTGCAGATATGAAGTCGCACGAATGTATACAAATGAAATATATAGCCAAAAATATGCAAGTGTTTTATATCACACTTTTGGTATCAGCACAAGCACCAATCCTTCTCCAGCCTACAGTTTCGTGTCACCACCAAAGATTGTGGTCTCCTAACCTACTGGACTAACAATAGTAACTTCTTTTAATAATAAAGATTTCATGTTGGAATCATGGATCTCATGAAAATTGACATTAAAAAATAAAATGAATATTTATGGAAGATATTTAGCTCTTTTTTTCATAGAAAAGCATGGTATTGAAAAGAGTAAAAAAAATACGGTTCAAATAGGAAAAAGTAGAAATATTAGAAAGGTTCTATAGCACTAATACAAAGAATTAGTACTCATAAAATGTATGAATAATTAACTACAGGGAATGTCAAAACATCAACGGTCATTGTAAGGCATCAATAAGGGTATGTAACTGTTGACACAATAAATTGCAATGTGTTCAACCAAATCATGAGTTTGATAATTATCTCCTAATTATTTGATTTTATTTAAGTTGTTGAAGATAGTGCCTATGATTTTATTTAGCAAATGGGTGACGTGTAAGATAAAGTTTCGAGGGAGTAATAAAGGTGATTATCTCCTAATTGGTTGATTACAAATAACTAGTTTCTCAATACCGTATCACCTAAAGCTACAAAGAAATAGTTAAGAGTTAGTTATATAAACAAATAAATGAAGTAAATCACATATATACCAATATTGTGTTAAAAAGAGTCTCGCTTGAGTTTAGATGGCTGTAACATTGAGGAAGAAGTTTAAAGGCCCAAGATCTTTTAAAGAGAATCGACTATCCATAATTTTAATTAGAGATTTAATTGCACAATAATTGATAACTATTTACATATAACTAAAAAGTAATTCTAATAGTCTAGTATATTCAGGTTGAGAGGAATAGAAGGGAGAGGAAGGAAAAAAATTTTTCTATTTGGTTATCAAAAGAATTAAAGAAGAGAGGAGTAATTCTAATAGTCTAGTATATCCCTTTTTTTTTTTTTTTTTTTTTTTTTTTGTGGTAATCTGAGAACAAAATCCTTGCCATTAATAATAAACATATAGTAAACCACTAAGTTACCAATCCAGAAGCTAACCTTTTCTCACTCCTTTACCTACACCAATTGTATCTAGGATTTAAATCCAAAAACCTCTCATTTTTATTGAAACGAAATTATTAATTGGCCACTTATTAAGTTGTGGGCATGGTTCATGTAATAAACCAATAGTTTTAAAATTTTAATAGGTGTTAACCTAATAGTGTTACATACACATTTATTTCAAGATTCAGGGTTCTCACTATAGCTCATAATTGATATTATTTACTTTGACTCACTTATTAAGTCTCATCAGGATTTAGGATTCTCACTATAGCTCATTATTGATATTATCCATTTCAACCCACTTATTGAGTCTCACAGTTTTAAACATCCACTAGTGATATTGCCCATTTTAGCCTATTAGACCTCACAATTTTAAAATGTATCAATAAAAATTAATGATTGTCAACTTATATATTCAGCATTTCTTCTATATTTTATCAATGTGGGATTTGTGAGGGTGTCACAATTCATTTTCTTCTTCAGACCACCAAGATGTGCTTTAAGCTTAAATGACCTTAAGGATTTGTTTGGATAAAAATTATAAAGGAAAAGGAAGAGAGAGGAGGGGAAGAGATGGGAGGGGAAGTGAAGGGAGGAGAAACGAGGGGAAGAAAAGAGTGGGTATTAACCTTGGTTGGATAGATAAAAGTAGGAAGAAGAAGGGAAAATATTTTTATTTAATTAAATAATTTAAAGAAAAATAAAATAAATATTTAAAATTTACTAATTAAAACAATAATTGAAATAAAATATTTTTATATATTTATTTTTTAAAAAATTAAAAACATATTAAATATGTAAATTAAATTCCTTGCAATCCCTTCTATTTAAAGAGATGAAACACAAAAGAGTGGAAGGGGCTTTATCATTCCTCCATCTACCTCCATGAATGAAAAAAAATTCAAACAGAATAAGGGAGACATCTGCTTGTCACTCTCCTCCCCGCACTCTCCAAATCAACCAATCCAAATATAGGCTAAGAAATCATTTGTCTTCCTAGTTATGAGCCCATGTAAGATCTTCCACGCTTATAATGTAACAATGGGCCTGGTATTTCGTGAATTATAATATTAGTCCATGATTTAATGATATAATAGACTAATAGTACTAATAAGAATTTACTCAACTTCGTGTCTACTAATTTAAGAGTCTTTGTTTATTTATTTTTCTTGTAAACCATCTTCATTTAAAATTAAAATTAAGAATTCAAACCCATTGTAACTTTAAGAATTAATCTTCAATGTACAAAAATAAATAAATAAATAATAGAGTAATGGGCCTAAAGGGAAACAATCCAAGTTGGCCGGATGTCCCCACAGCCTGGATTTGTTAGACTGAATACAGATGGTTCTGCTTCACTAAATCCTGGTAACGTTGGTGCAAGAGGGATCCTAAGGGAAGAATTTGGTAATTGGATTGCTGGATTTTCTAGAAACGTTGGGTATACTACTATATTGTCTGCTAAGTTGTGGGCTATCCATGATGGCCTTTCTCTTGCTGTCAATAGGGGATATTCCAAACTTGTTATTACAACTGATTGCAAAGCAGCTACTTTACTTTTGGATAAAGGGAATTGTTCTTTCCACTCACTGGGTATATTGATTTCTGATTGCAGGAGGCTAATGGATCAAGTCCCTGATCTTGACATTTTCCATATTTTGCGAGAGGCCAATTCTGCTGCAAATTTCTTGCGAGTTTGGTGACATGACGGACACTCCAATGTTGTTTTTTTTTTTTTTTACTAACCTCTTTATATTCGTAACCATATTGAATTTTAATTTATCTAAAATTGAATTGCATTGAACCCCATAAAAAAAAAACTCTAACAATATTAATGTTTATTTTTCTATTCATAAAATTTAAATTTAAGATCTTATTTAATAAATTTGAATTCAAAATCTTCTTTAATATAAACTGAGCTTTTCCCACTAAAACTAATAAACTAATAATACTCTAATGTTGTATTTGATAGTTGTCCTTAGCTCTATTTTGTACTTTGATGCTTCCGAGAAAACTATTCTCACAACTGTCACTATTCAATTAATTTGACTATAATATTTCATCTTATTATCCAATAAAAAAAAGGAGTAATGGCGTCATTTCATGGATTTAAAGATATGTTTTCTTCTAGCATAGGAACTCAACCAAATATTTTAGGCAAAAGCCTAAAAATAGCCCCTTACTTTGATAAGTTGGATGGTTTTGACCCCTCACCTTATAATATAATGGTTTTAGCCCCTAACTTATAAGAATGGAAGAAAATAACCATGTTTTATAACTTCCATCGTAGGGCTGTTACCGTCCGTCACTTCTGTCCATTCCTCCGTTATGTTTCCGTTAACTTTGTCAAAGCTTCTCCAAGAAACCTGCTGCATTTTTTTTGGGAATTCAAACTTTTTTTTTTTAGAATTCTAACATTTTTTCTACCTTTATTTTTAAAGATGGCTGCACATGTATTAATTGTATATAATTTTTACATATTATTAAATAAATA